CAGAAAGATATTTGAATAACAGACCACCTGACCTGCCTCTTGAGAAACCTGTATGCAGGTCAGGAAGCAACAGTTAGAACTGGACACGAAACAACAGACTGGTTCCAAATAGGAAAAGGAATATGTCAAGGCTGTATATTGTCACCCTACTTATTTAACTTATATGTAGTGTACAACATGAGAAATGCTGGGCTGGATGAAGCACAAGCTGGAATCAAGATTGCTGGGAGAAATATCAATAACCTCAGATATGCAGATGACACCACCCTTATGGCAGAAAGTGAAAAAGAACTAAAGAGCCTCTTGATGAAAATGAAAGAGGAGACTGAAAAAGTTGGCTCAAAGCTCAACATTCAGAAAACTAAGATCATGGCATCCAGTCCCATCACTTCATGGCAAACAGATGGGGAAACAGTGGAAACAGTGGCAGACTTTATTTTGGGGGGGGGCTCCAAAATCACTGTAGATGGTGACTGCAGTTAAAAGACGCTTGCTCCTTGGAAGAAAAGTTATGACCAACCTAGGCAGCGTATTAAAAAGCAGAGACATTACTTTGCCAACAAAGGTCCGTCTAGTCAAGGCTATGGTTTTTCCAGTAGTCATGTATGGATGTAAGAGTTGGACTATAAAGAAAGCTGAGCGCTGAGGAACTGATGCTTTTGGTGTTGGAGAAGACTCTTGAGAGTCCCTTGGACTGCAAGGAGATTCAACCAGTCCATCCTAAAGGAGATCAGTCCTGAGTGTTCATTGGAAGGACTGATATTGAAGCTGAAACTCCAATACTTTGGCCACCTTATGTGAAGAACTGACTCATTGGAAAAGACCCTGATGCTGGGAAAGATTGAAGGCAGGAGGAGAAGGGGATGACAGAGGACGAGATGGTTGGATGGCATCACCGACTCAATGGACATGAGTTTGGGTTGACTCCGGGAGTTGGTGATGGACGGGGAGGCCTGGCAGTCCACAAGGTCACAAAGAGTCAGACACAACTGAGCGACTGAACTGAACGGTTATCACATGATACACTGAATCAAAAATACATTTCCTCTGGCTCTTAAGTAGTTGAATTTGAAAAATGGGGTTTCAGGGAATCTTGATTTCTATGATTATTTTTAATGAAACCAAAGGAAAAATCAACCAGATATTGTTAATACATTGTCCAAATACATACTAGACTTTGCTCATCTATCTGCATGGTTGACTGACAATGAGAATATAAAATGTATACTTTTGCATATTTCATTCAGTCTATCAACTTCTTAACAAAGAAAATTTTTAAAAAAAATTCTGATCTCCTAAATGTCTTGCACACCTTGTACTTTAAAAAGTGATTTGCTGGCCTGTGATAATGAGACTTTCATAATGAACTTTTTGGGTCACGTTTTAGTTTCCTCAAAACATGCAGAAGCACTTAATGAGATTTTTTACTTTATAGAAATGAAAGAGGGTATTCCCTTAGACCTGTGCCTACAAGGTGGCTATCATTATTGATAGCCATAGAAAAGATGTTAAAATGCTGGTCTGCCATTAAGTCACATTTTCAACATGTGGGACAAGAAGAACAGCCTTGTCTGATTTGTAAATAGTTGAAGAAAGGAATAAAGGACAGGATTACAGTAAAATAATTTATATGCTGTTTCTCTAAATCTATTTGATCATCTCTGAATAGGTCATAAGGAGCACAGGATGAACTATACCTCAGTTGTTTGATATTATGTATAGGTTATGACAAAAACTCATACAGTGAAAAAAGTGAAATTTATGGGAAATAAGACTGACTCAGAAATTAAAAATATGTCACCAGAAAGAGCAGTCAAGTTGAACAGTACTAAAAACTGCAATTTATTTGAAATTCACATTCAGTTTGAATTACCTCTGTGCTTTGAAAACCTCTTCCCTGAGAAAGAGAAGTTTAACATGTGATGATATCCAGTGTGCTTCAGAGTATCTATAATAAAAACAATAGATATTGTAGACATGGAGAACCCTACATGATGAATTTAAGGATATGCATGCATGCTAGTCATGTCCGACTCTTTGTGACCGCACAGACTGTCACCCACCAGGCTCCTCTGTCCATGGAATTTTCTAGGCAGGAATATTGGAGTGGGTTGCCATTTCCTCCTCCAGGGGATCTTCCCAAACCAGGGATTAAACCAGAGTCTCTTGTGTCTCCTGTATTGGCAAGCAGATTCTTTTATCACTGTGCCACATGGGAAGCCCAAATTTAAAGTTGCTAAGGGTCAAATCCCAAAAAGTCAGTCTACTAAAACAAGCCTGTAGATACAAAGTGAACAGACATTTTGGGGAAGCTGGAAACTAATTCTTACAAGTCTAGAAACCTGCTATTGCTAATTTTGTTGTTCAGCCGCTCAGTTGGGTCCAACTCTTTGCGACCCCATGGACTGTAGTCAAGCTATTGCTATTAAGTCAAGCTATTGCTTGCTTCAGGGGCTTCCCTCATAGCTCAGCAAGCTATAGGGGGTTTCCCTGATAACTCAGTTGGTAAAGAATCTGCCTGCAGTGCAGGAGACCCCGTTTCAATTCCTGGGTTGGGAAGATCCCCTGGAGAAGGGATAGACTCCCCATTCCAGTGTTCTTGGGCTTCCCTTGTGGCTCAGCTGGTAAACAATCTGCCTGCAATGCGGGAGACCTGGGTTTGATCCCTGGGTTGGGAAGATCCCCTGGAGAAGGAAAACACTACCCACTCCAGGATTCTGCCCTGGAGAATTCCCTGGACTGTACAGTCCATGGGTTGAAAAGAGTCAGACACAACTGAGCGACTTTCACTTTTACTTTTCACTTGCTAATAAGTCAAGTCATATTCCATGTTCAGATTCCTTTACTGACAGGCTATCTAATTTGATGTCATTGCATTGGCCTGCCACCAGGGGTCAGTGTAATGTGGGCTTCATAAAAGGTGACCTCAGTTGTTCAGTCGCTCAGTTTAGTCATGTCTGACTCTTTCACGACCCCATGGACCACAGCATGCCAGGCTACCCTGTCCTTCACCATCTCCCAGAGTTTGCTCAAATTCATGTCCATTGAGTCGGTGATACCATCCAACCATCTCACCCTCTGTCATCCCCATCTTCTCCTGCCTTCTATCTTTCCCAGCATCAGGGTCTTTCCAATGAGTTGGCTCTTCGCATTAGATGGCCAAAGTACTGGAGCTTCAGCTTCAATGTCAGTCCTTCCAATGAATATTCAGGGTTGATTTCCGTTAGGATGGACTGGTTGGATCTCCTTGCAGTCCAAGGGACTCTCAAGAGTCTTCTCCAACACCACAGTGCAAAAGCATCAGTTCTTCAGCTCTCAGCCTTCTTTATGGTCCAACTCTCATGTTCATATGTGACTACTGGAAAAATCTTTAGCTTTGACTAGACAGATCTTTACTGACAAAGTGATGTCTCTGCTTTTTAATATGCTGTCTAGGTTTGTCATAGCTTTTCTTCCAAGGAGCATCTTTTAATTTCATGGCTGCAGTCACTGTCTGCAGTGATTTTGGAGCCCAAGAAAATAGTCTTACACTATTTCCCCATCTATATGCCATGAAGTAATGGTACTAGATGCCATGATCTTAGATTTTGAATGCTGAGTTTTAAGCCAGCTTTTTCACTCTGCTCTTTCACCTTCATCAAGAGGCTCTTTAGTTTCTCTTTGCTTTCTGCCATAAGAGTGGTGTCCTCTGTATATCTGAGGTTATTGATATGTCTCCGAACAGTCTTGATTCCAGCTTGGTCATCCAGCCCAGCATTTCACATGCTTTACTCTGCATATGATGGACATACACATATGATGTATGTTATTGATATTTCTGCCAACAGTCTCAATTCTAGCTCATGATTCATCCAGCCCAGCATTTCACATGATGTACTCTACATGTGATGGACATGAGTTTGAGCAAGCTCCGGGAGTTGGTGGCACAGGGAAGCCTGGCATGCTGCAGTCCATGGGGTCACAAAGAGTCACAGACACAACTGAGCGACTGAACTGAATTGAACTCTGAATATAAGTTAAATAAACAGGGTGACAATATGCAGCCTTGACGCACTCCTTGACTTTTGAATGTTCTCAGTTTTACCACTACATAAAATAAGGATATCCTGAAGACTGCAGGCAGTGAAGATAAGTATTATTGGAAGAGGACACACAAAGAGCAAAAATATTTTATCATGGGACGTACACATCAATTTTTATTAATTATAAGTAATATCTAATTATCCCTACTGTGTTACATTCAGCTTTTTAAAAGGTCTTATGTATCTTAAGACATAATAATATTGCCTATAAAATGTAAATATTTTATAAAAAGTTAAAATCAGAATCAGAGGAAAACACTATTGATAGTGTTCTGTTATTCTCACCCATACTGTTTAATTGGTTTCACTATTAAATATTACTAACTGCCACTCTTAACTAGTCCTGTTGTTTTTCTTAAATAATGACATTTATGTAACAGAATAGTAAATAATACAGAGTAATATATAACTTTAAATAAACAGCTAATTTATACTATATGTTAATAATATATTATGTATTATTACATATTAATACATAATATGTATTATATGTTAACATAATAATATAATTATTATGTTAATAATAATAATCATGTATGTGTAAGTATTTATTCATTACATATTATAATGATTCTTTGGTCTGATATAGCTGTGTCCTGAGTTGGGGCTCTAAAAGTTAGTCACTCTGCTATACATGTAGATGCCCTTCCTAGAGCCTGACATGCAGAACACAGTTCTGAATTGCTTGATAATTATTGGACAGGTATTTCTACTGTTTGCTCTTCTCTTGAAACAGTTTCATCTAAAGGCTTCCAGTGGAAATATGCACTAATATATTTCATGTGTCTGAATAAGAGAGTGGCAGGTTAAAACTCAATTAAGCTAGCAATTGAGGCAATTGTCAAGAAAGTGAAAAATTAAGTTTTGTTAACCTTAAAATCTAAGTTCAGAAATTTTATGGTATATTCTCTTTTGTAGCAAAAATACCTGGACGAGTCCCTGCTTGGCTTCTAAAAAGGTATGTGAGGTAGGAGAACTACACCCACTTTCTTCTTCCAGATTACCTCATTCCCTTTCCTCCGTCTTAAAAGATTTTGATTTAAAAGTGACTTTTTGGTAACAGTTTCCAGTTGTGTCCTTATAGTCTACATAGTGTCTGTGACATAGTGTCTGGGACTGCATAGGAGTGCCCATATGATGAATTTTGAAGGGTTCTCAGATTTCAGAATCCCTAAACTATCCCCAATGGATGCCTTAACATCTGCAGTTAGACATTTATTTCTATGCAATCATCATTGCTTTATCTGAGTTTCTCTCTTCTGGCCTAAGATAATACTTAGAATGAATGACTATCAGATGTTTTACTTTCTATAATAGCAATTGAAGCACTGGTCACATAGGGTTGATATTATTAGTACCTAAAAACTAGAAAAGGGATAGGAAGAGAAGTCAGGGATAGCATAGATAAACACTGTTGTTTTGTCTAAACCAGTAATTATAATATCACAAGCCCCCCTGGCAAGTTTCCCCATCTTCAGGAACAATGACCTAAACAACCATCTCAACAGTGGGCTTGTAAGTATGAGAACAGACTGAATTTGCACAACAGAGGAACATGGTACGCCTGTTCTTCCTTCCTTGGCCTCTTTTCTAAGAACTTAGTTTCTGCTCAGCAATGGGTTCTGTTGAAATATGTAGGCTTCTCTTGCCTCAAAAACTAGAAATTTAGGTTAAGAAACCACCTTTGGCCATACCTGTACTTGGATCTAAAGTTGATTAATTTAAACTAAGATTTAACTTTTAAAAAATATATTACTTATCTAAGGGGCTTCCCCTTATAGCTCAGTTGGTAAAGAATCTGCCTGCAGTGCAGGAGACCCTGGTTCTATTCCTGGGTCGGGAAGATCCCCTGGAGAACAGTAGGCTACCCACTCCAGTGTTCTTGGGCTTCCCTGTGGCTCATCTGGTAAAGAATCCACCTGCAATGCTGGAGACCTGGGTTTGATCCCTGGGTTGGGAAGACCCTGTGGAGAAGAGAAAGGCTACCCACTCCAGTATTCTGGCCTGGAGAATTCCATGGAAATCCACTTTCATATCTTATCTATGGAAAGAAATGAAATAATACAAGAAAATAACATGATAGAAAGTAATAGACAAAGTACTAGAGTTAGAAGGCGTGTATTCTAGACCTGCCCCTCTTTCTTATTAGTTATGTTATCATGAGCGAATAGCTTAACCTCTCTGATTCCTTAACGTTCCCTTTCTGATATAAGATGGGAATAACATTGGCTATCCTGCTTATATCAGAACTGCTGAGAGCCCCAAGTAAAGTAATATCTGTAACAATACCTCGCATACTGTGACATGTAATATACAGACATAACATGGCATTTCACTACTTTTAATTAGATAGTTCATTGTTAACATTGAAATCAGAGTACCCAATTTCTTTCAGCTCCCAAACTATGATTCAGAAGCTTAGCAGAGACCAACAGAGATATGTTTTAGGAGCTCACAAGAAAAACCAGGAAACAGTTCAGCCCAGGAACAATGATTTGTATGAAAACTGTGTCAAAGTGACATCCTTGAAGTGTCCTCTGAGCAAACAGACTCGCATTTGGACTGAGACGACAAGGATACCAACAGAAGGTGTTTTTTTAATGTTTAGGATTTTAATAAATGCCAAGGTGGCTTCTACCATATCATCATTAATAAATTGTATGAAATCTGGATTATGGGAACTGTTTTTATAAGCAGAGAAGATAGACAGCCATTTTACTCCACTCTGAAAAATACTTGCCTTATTTAATTTCTATACAAGTTGAATACAGAAGAAAATTATTTAATATAGCCTTGAAAAAGTCAATTTAATTGCATTGTTTCCATCACCTCTTTATTATTGATACCCTTTCCATATCATAGAATAAAAATGTAATGAGTTGATACACATAACATGGATGAATCTCAAAATCACAGTGCTGACAAAAAGCAACCAGATGCAGAAAACTAAAAACTACAAGAAATCACATGTATGTGAAAAGCAAGCTAATCTCTAGAGACAGAAAGTAGATAACGGCTTCCTCTAGTAAGGGAAAGAGTAGGGGAGGAAGGAAAGAATGGACTGTAAAGGAGCATCAGGAATCTTTTAGTGATCATCTTTTCTAGATCTTGGTTTATGGTAGTGGTTTCACAGGTATTTACAACTGTGGAAACTCTAGGGCGTTGGGCCAGAGCAACTAGCTGGATTGAACTGTCAGCCACCAGATGGCAAAGACCAAGAGTGGAGCATCACTTCAGTTTAGATTTGTTCCTTTTGACACACCTTTAGACACTGAAGTGGAGGTACTGAACAGGCAGTTGGATATGAGTCCAGAGTTAAAGGAAGAGATTTGGGCTGAAGATGCATTTAGGAATTTTCAGCATAAAGATAGTATTTTAAGGCATGAAGCTGGATGAGATTTAAGTGAGTGTAGATATAGATGAGGGTTAAGGAGCAAGTCCTTGGGAACCCCCAACACTGATGCATCAGGAAAAGAGTAAGAACCCAACAAAAGACTGGAAAGCCCCGCCTTGAGTAGGAGGGAAAGCAAGAGAATGTGCTGTCCTGGAAGCATAAGTGAGAAAGTGTATCCAACAGGGCATAATCAGCCAGGTCTAATGCTTCTGATTAGATGAGATGGTTTTACTATTTGGTTTACAACATGTAGGTTTTATTTGGGGATCTTGTTCAGGGAAATTTCAGTAGAATGATAAGAGGTACAGGTCTAATTAAAGTGTACCTTAAAACAGAAGAGAAATTGGAGACCATATTTATAGATTTTGCTGCAAAGGGGAAATTTGATTTTCAGTGTTCCCTACTGCTCCCACACACCCACTGCTCTTAATTTGAAATTATGTTTCTCAACCTTCCCATCTTTCCTGAGCTGAGATTCTCATGGCTTTTTATTATATTATCTTTAAACATGTCTTGATGAATCTTGATGACATATAAATAAAAATTCTACAGTTTTCTTTTTTTACTGGAGTAAGTCATTTCAGAGGGAGTCAGTTTTTGATGCTGCCTCCTCCTTTATAGTATATACATTTAGGGCTATACATTTTCCTCAAGTATGTCATCACTCAGTTTCTCTCAGAAGTCTGTCCTTTCCCATTACTGAACTATTCAAGTGGAGATGAGCCGGATCTGTCAGAGATTCACGAGCAGCCTAGGCAGACTTCTCCAGTTCTGGGAGAGTTTATATTTGTAATGAGTCATGGATATATGTTCCTTTGATTCAGACTCCCTTTCTGCCTCCCCTGAATTAGCCTCCTAACTTGTCCCTCTGCCTCACTTTTTTCACCCTGACAACCTCCTGGCTGCCACACTGATCTTTCAAAAATGCATATCTAATTATATCACTTCCATGTATAAAGGCCTCCTGACAATTCATTTTTTAAAACATCAAGCATCTGCCTGTCACACATGATTCCTATCTCAGGAAATCTCCCAGAAGTACTATTATTACAGACAGGGTCTCCAGTTGTGAACCACTTACTCACACCTACCTGATTTCTAGTCATTCTAAACCTTACTTGTGATTTCCTGAGTGTGCCGTGCTGGTCCCACTACCTAGACTACTGTTGCTGTTGTTGTTCGGTTGTCCACTGTCCAGCTCTTTGCAACCCCATGGACTGCAGCACGCCAGGCCTCCCCCAGAGTTTGCTCAGGCTCATGTCCATTGACATGAACGTGGACATAGACATGAACCTAAATTACTACTCTTTTTTTTAACTAGCTGACATACCTGTGCATCAAGACTCAGACTAGTTAGGAATTAGGAATATTTCTTTTTCCAGCTCTAAGTCTGGCTGGAAGTACCTCTTCAGCAATCCTACAGTAAGTACCTTGCCTTATCCTAGAGATACATATTCTAACTGAGGCTTTACTTCTCCCTCTAGTCCCAACTGTTGGCATATTTAAGGCAAGTACTATGTACTTTTCACATCTATTTACCAAACTAAACATAATACCAGCTACATAATAATGTTTCAGTGAACAGCCTAGGAATGGCTTCTCCAGAGACTGTAGATGAACTCATTTTATTTGCCAGCACTGCCAGATATTGTAATCACACATACCCTCATTAATTGTCTTTCAAGTCTAGTTTAATTCAGTGAGTGCTTTAGTCATCTGTTTCCTTTCTTTTTAGTAATGGACAATTCCCTTTAAAAAAGCATTATTGTGGATATTTCAAGCATAAACAAAAGTAGAATAGAATAATGAACCACTGGTGCCTGTCATCCACCTTTTAATAGTTATCAGCATCCTGCTATTCTTGTTTCATTTATATTCCCAGTACTTTTTTTTTTTTTTTGCTTAAGTAATTAAAGCAAAGTCAGCAAATCATATTGTTTTGCCCATAAATACTTCAGTCTATGTCTCTTAACTAGATAAACCTTTTTTTAAATAAAGCATAATGTATTTCTTGCTTTTATTCTAAGTGTATTCTACTTTTTTCTTATGCTGTCTACATACATAACAATTTAGGCATCATAATTATAAGTAATACTGCTACATCCTTTAAAATGTCTACCAATTTTCCTTCAAGTTTTACTTAGGGTTCTTTTTTTCCCCTCTCTCTACCTATATATATTGAATTTTAAAAATTCTGTTAAAATACACATGACGTAAAATTTACCATCTTAAGTATTTTTAAGTATAAAGTTCAGCAGTGTTGAATACATTCACATTGTTGTACACGGCCTCCAGAACTCTCTTCATCTTGCAAGACTGAAATGCCATAGCCATTAAATGACAGCTGCCCATTGCCCCCTCTTCCTAGGCCCTGGCAACTATCCTACTTTGACTATTCTAGGTATCCAATATACATGGAATCAAATGTTTGGAAAAACACATACATTATTTGTCTTTTAGTGACTGACTTATTTCACTTAGCATAATGTCCTTGAAGTTCATCTGTGCTGTATCAGAATTTCCTTCCTTTTTAAGGCTCAGTAATATCCCATTATATATATACCACATTTTGCTTATCCATTTATCTGTCAACGGGCACTGGAGTTGCTTCCATCTTTTGGCTACTGTGAGTAACACTACTATGAACACTGGTGTACAGATAACTCTCCAAGATATCATCAATTCTGGGCATATACCCAGAAGTAGAATTGCTGGACCATCAATTACCCTATGGTAATTCTATTTTCAGTTTTTTGAGGAACCGCCATACCGTTCTCCATATCAACTACACCATTTTACATTCCAGCCAGCAATGCACAAGGGTTTTAATCTCTCCATGTCCTTGCCTACACTTTTCATTTTCTGTTTTTTGACAACAGCGATCCTAATTGGGTATTGAGTGGAATAAACACTTTTCAAATGAACTTTATTTTTTAAAACAGTTATCCACACATTTTTACTGTTATTATACTCTTACCACAATTAACAAAATAAGCAATAATTCCTTCATATCATCTGTTAATAAATAATAAAGAAGGAATTTCTAACAGACTTTTCCCATAGTTTTCTCTATATCTTGTCCTTCTACTTGCTCAAACAGCAGCTTTGGAGCTACCACTGATTTCTCTCTTCTTTTCTCATCCCACATCTAATTCATTGGAAAATCTCAAAATACACTCAGGATTCTTCCCTCCCTTGCTCACACCTCTCCCTCCGGTGACTGCCACCACCCTGGTCCAAGCTACCGTGCGCTCTCTTGTTAGCAGATTCTCTCAGTAGCCTTCCATGAGCTCTCCCTGTCTGTCTACCCCTGCGCCTCTTCAGTCTATTCTTGGTTCAGCAACCAGCATGATCCTATTAAAGCAGATCTGAGATGCGACACTCCTCAAAGCCTTCCAGGGCCTTCCTATTTCACACTCAGTAAAAATCAGAGTCCCTACAGTGGCCTGTGAGGCCTTATGTGAACTAAGTCACCCATCCAGCTCATAGCTTTCTGCTTATTGATTCTGCTTAGCCACGTGTCTCCTCACGGTGCGCCCTGCACACACGACCATGCTCCTGGCTCGGTGTCTTTGCACTTACTGCTCCCCTTGCTGCAAATGCTCCTCCCTCCAACAGTGGCTTGACTCGCCCCCTAAGTCCTCTGACATGGCAGCATCATAAGGAGGCCTTCTCTGACCACCTTTTTAAAAACAGAAATCAGCCCCTCCCCAAGAATTCTCTATTCTCCTTCCCAGCTTTATTTTCTCCCATAAATTTTATTATCTGACAGATGTTTTGTTTGTTTACTTTCTGCCCCATAATTAAAGTATAAGCTTGAGATGGATAAGAATTCTTAGATAGAATCTTTGGCAGATAATGCTCAGTAAATAACTGATTAATCAATTCAGTTTATGTATCTATACATATTTTTATGGTTGCTCCCCAGATCTGCATCACAATTTAAAAAGCACTATGAAAGAATGTCCATCTTTCCAAAGCAAGAAGGCTGATATAAACTGGACAGATGATGAAAAAAGAATCTACAGGGATAAAAAAATAGCTGAAACTCAAGAAATATTGCAGTGTTTGCTCCCCATCATGCAGAGCACTAAAAATGTGCAAACCACTCAGATAACAGAGGTATTCAACCCAAGAACCAGCTTTCAAATCCAACATCAGTAAGTCAATACAATTTTGTCATTCTTAGCTATTTAATACATGCACTCTTTTATAAAGAAATACGGTTTATTGATTCCACATCCTATTAAACAAACATAGGCTCTTAATAGAGGCAGCGCACCATATTTGACAAAGGCCTAAAGCCATAAGAAAACACTGGATATGTGAAGAAGTAAGGTTATAAGGCCTTATTTGATTATTTACATGAAACCACTCATTAGTTTGGATCTATAAGACCAAAAGGAAACTAATACAAATAAAAGACAATGACAAGCTGAAAATAAGAACTATAATACTAATATTATCAACAGATTTGATGAAGTACTTTCTATATGCTACACAACATTCTTTGTTTACACAAACACATTTTATATTCTACACATAAGGAAACTGAGATGCAAGTCTGTTACTCAAATTTGTTCAAGGTCACACAGCCAATAGGCAGCAACTGGACTCAACACTAACTAGACATTTAGAATGCAGTCTTTCATCAGTATGCTTGGACATTTCTCTCCATAATATAAGAAACAGAGGGCCAACATACTTAATAGTCAAAGACTGCATACAAATCAATGACAGAATCATGAATATTTTAATAGGAAAATGGGCAAAGGCTATGAGCCAGAAATTCACAAAAAAAAGACCAATAATCACTTTAAAATGTTCAATCTCACTTAAATCCAAGGAATATAAATTAAAACAATAATGAAATTCTCTCATTTTTTTCTCTCAATGGAAGACTTCACTCACTGACTGTTGGAATAGAAATGGTACAATTTCTGGAAGGCAATATGATAATATATGAAAATCCTTAATATCTACATTTGTTTTAAGAAATTCCACCTTTAAAAAATAAAAAATAAAAATAAAAGAAAAATAAAAGAAAAGAAATTCCACCTTTAGAAACCAGTCTTAAGGGGAAAAAAGCCTCAGGAAGGGCTAGAAGACTTCTGTAGTGATGTTCATTGCAGTATTGCTTACAGGAGCCAAAGAAAAGAAAATGAATTTAAATGTTCAACAATAGAAGACTGCTTAAATAAATTATTGTATAGCCATAAACTGAAAGATTATGTGGCTATTAAATATATCAATGTATATATTAACATAAAACGATGTTCACAATATATAAGTGAATAAAAGCTGCAGACCAGCTTGATTTGCTATGGTTGTATTTATGGATTATGTATATACATTTAATGTGTGCAGATTATACATAATCAAACATATAACTAGAACAAATCCTGGAAGCACATATTCCCAACAGTGATTATCTCTGCAGAGTCAAAGTACTGGCAGAGTATGATGTTCCTCTTCCTGTTTTTTTCCCTAAATTATTATTAATGCATATTTCTTCATTGTAAAATCAGTGAAGTTAAAAAAATTAGAAAAAAAGGCACCTGATGGCAGTTTCTAGTGGGATGGGGTATCTGTCACTGCCTTACAAAAACTGAATCTAATCAGTCAACTAATATGAGAGAAGCAAACAGTACAGGCAAACAAAGCATCAAGTATGATGATATCAGCAAAATAAACAGCAGAAAATTAATTTAAAATTATAATGGACCTACCTAGGCAAAGGAACTGAGAAGCTGAGATCGATATAAGCAAGGGGTCTGAGAGATAATAATTAGGACATCACTTAATTTTTAGTCATTATTTTCACAAGTGTTAATGTGTTAGTCGCTCAGTCACATCCAACTCTTTGAGACCCCATGGACTGTCACCTGCCAGGCTTCTCTGTCGATGGAATTCTCCAGGCAAGAATACTGGAGTGGGTGGCCAGTCATTCCCTTCTCCTGGGGATCTTCCCGACCCAGGGATCGAAACCAGGTCTCCCACATTGCAGGTAGATTCTTTACCATCTGAGCCACCATAGATTCCTTACATTCTTTGAGCCTAGACACGCACTCAGTGTGAACTGGCCTGAGCCTAAAAGTGTAAGTAAATAATAGTCTTTACTAATTAAGAACTCTTTGGTTACATGTAACAAAATTCTATCTAGTTTAATCAAAAAGCATAAGGTAGGGCAGAGGGGAAGAACTGTAAGAAAATGGAAGGCTATTCATGGAAATGAGAGAATGAATTCAGGCAAGATTCATGCAAGGCCTGGAATTGGGAACAGAAAACTATCCATCTTCGGTCTCTGCTTTTCTCTCTCTGCAGAAAAGTCTTCACACCCCTGAATCACAAATGTGTATCCTACAGCTTCTGCTGCTGCTAAGTCACTTCAGTCGTGTCCGACTCTGTGCGACCCCATACGGCAGCCCACCAGGCTCCCCCATCCCTGGGATTCTCCAGGCAAGAACACTGGAGTGGGTTGCCATTTCCTTCTCCAATGCATGAAAGTGAAAAGTGAAAGTGAAGTTGCTCAGTCGTATCCAACTCTTAGTGACCCCATGGACTGCAGCCCACCAGGCCCCTCTATCCATGGGATTTTCCAGGCAAGAGTACTGGAGTGGGGTGCCACTGCCTTCTCCAGTATCCTACAGCAGTTTCACTTAAAAGACTGACCCACTATCTCTCATTACCAATTCTAAATTATAGGAAAGATAATTGGATTGGCAGCATTCCCAGTGAGTAGAGGTCAAATAGTTACAAATGTGGCTGACTGAAGCCCTACCTCCAGCAGCAGTCCCCCAGAGAAGAGAAAATTTTGCCTAGGCTGGACCATTCCCAGAAGTATTTGGTATAGATATACAAGGAAATAAGAAAAATTAGGAAAGCAGAAAGCAACAGATGACCTTACTACATATTTAACACCATCCATTTTCATAAGATTATAATGAGGCATCTTGACCCCTCTGCCAGGCAGTGTCAAAGAAGGCGAGTACCAGGTCAGGACTTCCATCCCCAGTGGCCTGGAAAGGTCCCCACCCCAGAGTGTCACTGGGAGCCACGTGGGAGACTAGACTTCCACACCCACTGGACAAAAATAAGGTGCCTTTCCCCCTCCTCACTATGGGGGTGTCAGAGTAGGTCTAGAAGAGAGTCAGAACCTTTACTACTGCCCAGCAGTAATGAGACCACCTCTATCATAGTGTGGGTGGAGGCTGCACAGGGAGATGAATCTCCCATGCCTGTCCAGCAGGAATGAGAAGCTGCACCCCTCTGGTGTCAAGCAGTCCAAGTGTGGAACCTGGACTTCTGCTTACATCTGTTAGTAATGAAGACTCACCCATGCTACAGCAGAGTCACACAGTCAGTTAAAACAGAAGGTTTAAGATCCAGCCTCATAACACTGTATGAGAATGTCCATGTTTAGTCAGAAATAAATCATCATATCAAGTATGAGGAAGATTAAACCTGATAATCAGCAAGTGCAAACACTGAGAATTATGGTAACAACAGAATTTTCTGAAAAAGATTTTTAAAGCAGTCATGATAAAAAATAAAATATGTTTCAACAAACACTTGAACAAATCAAAAGAAAATGTAAAGCCTCAGTGTGGGGGAAAAGGTGAAGTCAGGCAGACAGAGAAGGAGAGAAAGAGACAGAAGGTAATAAGAACCAAAGGGGAATTTTTGGATGGAAAAACACAATAACTGAAATAAAAGGTTCAGGGGCTAAACTCAACAACACAACTGAGGAGAGACTGGGAAGAATCTATGGACTGGAAGAGACAGAACAGAAATAACCCAACCTGAACACCAGAGAGAAAACAGACTGGAAATAAAATGAACAGAGCCTCAGGGACCTATGGAACCATAAAACAAAATCTAACATTCATGTTTTCAGAGTTCCTGGAAGAGAGGAGAAAGCAGCAAGGCTGAGAAGGTCCTCAAAGGTACTCCAAATCTGGCAAGAGACATAAACCTACAGATCAAACAACTGAGCAAACCATCAACAGGATAAACTCAAAGAAATCATGCCAAGATATTCCAAATTTTAACTTACGAAAACTAAAGAGAAAGAATAATTCCTGAAAGCAGCCAGAGGAAAATGACACCTTATTTATAAGGGAAACAAGTTTAATTACAGCCAATTTCTCAGCAAAAGCTATAGAGGCTAGAAGAAGTGGCACAATGTTTTCAATTATTGAAAATAAGGAATTGTCAACCCACAATCTGACACAGAGCAAAAATAAAGGAGCACTCAACAAATGTTAAGATAAAGGAAAACTAAGAATTTTTCACTAGAAGACCTACACTAAAAAAATGACTAAATTTTTTTAAACAGAAAAAATAGAGGAGGAACATCAGGAAATAGATAATGCTGAGCAAATGTACAGGTAAATACAATAGGAGTTCCTTCTCGAGTTCTCTAAATATGTTGATGGTTGAAGCAAAAGTTAGTACACTGATATGGTTCTAAATGTATCTAAAGGAAAATATTTAAGACAGTTACAAATATGAGAAGGTAAGGGGGACATAAAGGAAGGTTAGATATCTATATTCCACTCAAGCTGGGAAAATTACACCATTAGATGTGATAAGTTATTCATGGGTAATGTAAAAGATACTTAAAAATATACACTCAAAAACACTACAGATAAATAAAAATGGAATTTTTATGCAACCTAAAAACTCCACCAAACCACAAAAGAAAAAAGGAAAAAAAGAAGAAATACAAAATCAACTGGAAAACAAGGTTTAAAATGACAACAATTCATATATATCAATAACTACCTTAAGTGTCAATAGACTAAAAGACATAGAGTGGCAGTTGAATAACAAAACATAGCCTATAATATTCTGCCTGCAGAAATCCTCAGCAAAATATTAGCAAACCAAATCCAACAACATATAAAAAAGATCATACACCACAATCAAGCTGGATTCATCCCAGGGTCAAAAGATGGTTCAACATATGCAAATCAATTATGTGATATGACTACATCAACAAAAGAAAAGACAAAAAGCACATGATCATCAGATGATTTGATGATCCTCTTATCATCAATAGCTGCAAAAAAATCATTTGAAAATTTATTCAGGGTAGAAACTCACCAAAGTGGGTACAAAGGGAACATACCTCAGCACAACAAAAGCTATGTATGATAAACACACAGCCAACATAATACTTGATGGAAAGTTGAAAGCCTCACTAAAAGCTGAAACAAGACAAGCATGCCCACTCTCACCACTTCTGTTCAACATAGTGTTGGAATTCCTAGCCACAGTAATCAGAGAAGAAAAAAAACCTATCCAACTTGGAAAGGAAGAGGTAAAACTGTCACGATGTGCAGATGACATGATACAATATACATAGAAAATTCTAGAGACTCCACCCAAGAACTACTAAAACTGATAAACGAATTCAGCAGGGTAGCAGGATGCGAGATTAACATACAGAAATATGTTGCATTTCTATATACTAATAATGAAGTATCAGAAAAGGAAAGTAAAAAAAAAAAATCCTGTTTAGAATCAAATAAAAAAAAAGAACAAAGGAGACAACCAAGTAGGTAAAAGACCCATATGCTGAGAACTATAAAACACAGATAAAGGAAACAGAAGATGATTCAAAGAAATGGAAGGATATTCCATGCTCTTGGATTGGAAGAATTAACACTGTTAAAATGGCCACACTACCCAGAGCAATTTACAGATTTAATGTGACCTCTATCAAATTACCTGTGACATTGTTAACAAAACTAGAACAAATAATCCTAAAATGTATATGGAAGCATAAAAGACCCAGAATTGCCAAAGCAATTTGGTGGGAAAAGAACAAAGCTGGAGGAACTGTCCCAGACTTCAGAAAATGCCAAAAAGCCACAGTAATCAAAAAGTATGGTACTGGCACAAAAACAGATATATGAATCAAGAGAAAAAATGGAGAGCTCAGAAATAAACCTATACACTTAGGATCAGTCTTCAACAAGAGTCAAGAATATACAATGCAGAACAGTCTCTTTAGCAAGTAGTGTTGGGACAGCTACAGTCACATGTAAATCAAGTTAGAACACTCCCTCACACCCTGCACAAAATAAACTCAAAATGGCTTAAAGACTTAAATATAAGACATGACACCATTAAACTCCTAGAAGAGAACATAGGCAAAGTATTCTCTGACATAAATTGCAGCAATGTTTCTTAGGTCAATCTCCCAAGGCAATAGAAATAAAAGCAAAAATAAACAAATGAGCCTCAAACTTATAAGCTTTTGTACAGCAAAGGAACCATAAACAAATGAACAGACAACATACAGACTGGGAAAAACACTTGCAATTGATGCAACCAATAAGGGCTTAATTTTCCAAAATATACAAACATCTCATACAGTTTAATATTTTTTTAAAAAACCAACCCTAACAAAAAATGTACAGAATATCTAAATAGACATTTCCCCAAATAAGACATACAGATGGTCAACAGGCACATGAAAAAATGGTCAACTATGCTAATTATTAGAGAAATGTAAATCAAAAGCACAATGAGGTATTACCTCGCACTGGTCAGAATGGCCATCATTAAAAAGTCTATAAAGAATAAAACAGACATGAGCAATCAATAACTGAAATGAAAAATACACTAGAAGGAGTCAATAGCAGAATAACTGAGGCAGAAGAACAGGTAAGTGACTGAGAAGACAGAATGGTGGAAATCTCTGCCATGGAACACAATAAAGAATGAAATGAGGACAGTCTCAGACACCTCTGGGACAACATTAAATGCACCAATATTTGAATTATAGGGGTCCCAGAAGAAAAAGAGAAAGGGCCAGAGAAAACATTGGATGAGATTATAGTCACAAACTTTCCTGCCATAGAAAAGGAAAGAGTCACCCAAGTCCAGAAAGTGCTGGGGTCCCATGCAGGATAAACCCAAGGAGGAACATGCTGAGACACACATTAATTGAAAAAGTCTACAGGTAATAAATGCTGGAGAGGGTGTGGAGAAAAAAGGAACCCTCCTACGTTGTTGGTAGGAATGTAAACTGGGGCAACCACAATTGAAAACAGTATGAAGTTTCCTGAAAAAAATAAAAATAGAGTTGCCATATGATCCAGCAATCCCACTCCTGGGCATATATCCAGAGAAAACTCTAATTCAAAAAGATGGATGCACCTCAATGTTCAGAATAACTCTATTTACAATAGCCAAGACATGGAGGCAACCAAATGGCCATCAATAGATAAATGGATAATAAGAGATGTGGTATATATAATGGAATATTACTCAGCCATAAAAATAATGAAATAATGCCATTTGTAGCAAGATGGACCGACCTAGAGATTATCATACTAACTGAAAGAAGAGAAAGACAAATGATATTGTATCACTTAGATGTGGAATCTAAAATATGATACAAATGAGTTCATTTACAAAACAGAAATAGATTCACAGACACAGAAAACAAACTCATGGTTGCCAGAGCCAGAAAGGAAGGGAGAGAGATAATTTGGGAGTTTGGGATTAGCAGATACAAACTACATATACAAAATAAATAAAAAATAAAGTCCTACTGTATAGCCCAGGGAACTATATTCAATATTCTGTAATAAACCATAATGGAAAACAATAGGAAAAAGAATATATACATATATATGTATAGTACAACTGAATAACTTTCTGTACACCCAAAACTAATGCAACATTGCAAATCAATTCTACTTCAATTTAAAAAATAAAATAATAATAAAAATAAAACAATAGGAGTAGCAAAAAATCAACAGTAAGAAAACATATAGATCACTTAGAAAATGAGCAAAAGACATGAACTGTCACTTCACCAAACAATATACAGATGGCACATAAATACATGAAAACATGTTCCACATCATTAGCCACTAGGGAAATGCAAAATAAAACCACAGTGAGTTATCACTACATACCTATCAGAATGGCTACAATAAAAAATAATGATAACACCAAACATTGATGAAGATGCAAAGAAATTGGGTCACTCATATATTGCTGGTAGGAATATATATGTTTTCACTCTGGAAAACAGCTTGGTACTTTCTTCACAAGCCAAATATAAACTAACATATGACCCAGCAATTGCTCTCCTGAGCTTTAATCCCAGAGAAAGGAAGACTTACATTCACACAAAAACCTATTCACAAAGCTTTATAGCAGCTTTATTTCCAATACCTATAAACTGGAAACAACTCTCATGTCCTTCAATGGATGAATCATTAAACAAACTGGTACATCCATTCCATGACCTCAGCAATAAATAAAGAATGAACTACTGATACACAAAGCAACCTGGATGAATCTCCAGAGTTTGCTGGGTGAAAAAAAGGTCAATCCCAAAAGGTTCAATATAAGTTCACTTGTACAACACTCTTGAAATAACAAAATTATGTAATCTGGACAACAAATTGGTTGCCTGGAGTTGAGGGGATGAGGAAGGAGGAAAGTAGGTATGACAGTAAAAGGGAAACATGAAGGAACTATTCTGTATCTTGACTGTGTCAATGGCAATATCCTAACTGTGTTATTGCTTCTAGTTTTTCAAGATATTTCATTTAGGGGAAACTGGGTGAAGGGTACATCTCTATATTATTTCTTCCAGCTGTAGGTGGGTCTGCAATTATCTCAAAATTAAGAGTTTAATTAAAAACATGGTTGAGATTTTGTGGTTAAAAAAATGGAATTCTAAAAAAAAAATGGAATTCTAAAGAAAAACTGAGAGACTTTAGGTAGCGACAGTTAGTAATTTTGAAAACCTCACTCTCTCAAGGAAAAACCTCTCTCTTGGACTTATATTGATCTCTTTACTGAATATGGGGGTGAGCGGGGCAGGGGGGACAGTGCATGTACACTGAATTAATTCTAATAGAATACACAAAGTAGATTTTTAGAGCAAGGTGGAATTTTAGAGAGCATTGGCTTCAGCTGAATGCATTAATGTAAGAAAGGGCTGAGGACCAGAGTGGCCATTATACCAGGAAGAGTCAGGGCAGGTATCCCAATAAACATATCCTCAGGGCATTTAAAAATAGAAGGTTGGAATAGTGTTTAAAAATCATGACCAGAAATGAAGTTAGATCATTCTCATCGAAATAAAGGTAAGAGTCTTAAAGGAGAATGAACTCAGCAAAGAAAAAAAAAATACAATTTATACTATCACAGTACCTAAGGACTACAAATACTTAGGGTACATATTGGGCAGAAGCTCACGTATTTCGTTTCTTCCCTAGACAAAAGCCATCTTCTAACACAGACATAAGGAAATGCAGCGCATCTTGGACGCCACCCAGAAATCTCCCTTTGATAAGCCAGAGGACTCTTACAAGAAGCGCTTCAAAATGGTTTCAGTCTCTGTCCCGAAAGTCATCTGAAAGTTCGCTGCCTCTCAGAGGGCCCAAGAGGAGGAAAAAATATTCTCGAGTCAAGGCCACAAAGACTAAAGACATGAAAGCTGCCAGCAGCAAATGGGAGATGACTCCCTCAAGTTCTGAGAAGGATGCAGACAAGAGTCTGCAAGCTGAAGGATCCAGCCAGCAAGGCTCTATGCAGACAGCCCCCCATCCAACTAAAACTAAGGGAGGGCAGCCAAAAAAGAAGCATGGACAGCCCACTTTTCACCTGAAGTTGCAGAGGGACATATAATCTAGCTTTTTGCTGCTCTGAAAACTGTGGATGAGAGATAACATATGCTAACACAGTAAAAAGAAAAAGAAGACAAAGGAAAGCCCTCCTGGCCCCTCAATCCCTACCCCCTCCCACCTGTTCATGTGCATGTACTAAACTACAAATTTCAGATATCCTATCTTCTTTAGTGTTGACATCTTTTAGAGTTAAAAAGAAATCCAGAAATAATATAGAAAATGAAAAATCACTTAGATATTTATATTTAATTTTTGTCAAGATAAAAAAAAAGTCTGAACTTTTTATTTCTTCTGAAATGATTTATTCACACAACACCAAAAGACTAAGACCTCAAGGCAAGGATGACATGTACTGCTCTTAATGTTCCTACTAGGCACTTTAATGAATCAGTCAACAAACATTGTTTCTTTAACTTCTATCTTGAAGTGTGCTAGAAACCATTAGTGACTTACTGCAGAGGAACAGGTAAATCGGGCAAATAAATCAAGATGTATGGGGTAAGTGAGAAGAGAGTCAATCTGCCTGGAGTTGCAGGTCAACAATGGTGGCCACTACAGGATAAAGCCATTGAGAATCAGGAGAGCTAGTTCAAGTTACAGGCCACAAGCTTCATTAGGGTCCCAGGAGCAAGACGCAACTAGAAGATCTGAGGTTGGGGAATGTACTCTCAACAATATTTCCAATGACCAAAGAGGGTTCAAGGAGAGCTCATTGGGGTATTAAAAGAGTAACTGTTATGTTCTGGTCTTGGTTTTAATAGACTTTATTTTTTAAGGAAGTTTTAGGTTCACAGCAATACTAATCAGAAGGTAGACTCCTATTATTACCATCCCACCAGAATGATTCATTTGTTACAACTGATGAACCTACACTGATACCTCATTATCATCCAAAGTCCATAGTTCACATCAGGGTTTGCTCTTGGTGTTGTACATTCTATGGGTTTGGATAAATGTATAATGAAATGTATCTACCATTATAGTATCATACAAATTAGTTTCACTGCCCTAAAAATTCTCTATGCTCTACCTATTCATCCCTCTCTCCCACTCAAACCCTGGCAACCACTGATCTTTTTACTGTCTCCCTAGTTTTGCCTTTTCCAGAATATCACATCATTGAAATCATAAAGTATGTAGCCTTTTCAGATTGGCATCTTTCACTTAGTAATATTCATGTAAGTTCTATCATGTCTTTTCATGGCTTGATAGCTCATTTCTTTACAGCACTGAATTCCATTGAAAATAAAATTTACAAACTTCTCGAAATGTTAACTAAGAAAAAAGACACAAATTACTAACATCAGAAACAAAAGAGGGGCCACTAACATTGATCCCATGGAAATTAAAAAGATAATTAAGGAATATTATGAACAACTCTTGACCCACAAATGTGATAACCTAGATGGAATGGGCTAATTCCTTGAAAGACACAATTTGTCAAAATTCACGCAAAAAGAAATAGATGATTTAAAGAGGCCTATATGAATTAAAGAAATTAAATCAATAAATAGTAACCTGCCAAAAGAGAAATCACCAGGCCCAGACAAGTTCACTGATGAATTCTACCAAAAATTTAAGGAAGAAATTATACCAGTTCTCTACAATCTCTTCCAGAAGATACAAGCAAAAAGACTACTTAATAACATAATCTACGGGGCCAGCATTACCCTAATGCTAAAACCAGACAAACATATTACAGGAAAAGAAAATTACAAACCAATATCTTCTGTGAACATAGATGCAAAAATCCTCAACAAAGCATTAGAAAATAGAAGCCAATAATGTATAAAATGAATTATATACCATGGTCAAGTAGACTTTATACTAGGTATGCAAGCCTGATTCAATATTCAATTATCGATATAATCCATCACAACAACAGAACAAGGAAGAAAAATTATATAACATCAATATATACAGAAAAAGAATTAAACAAAATCCCACACCCATTCATGAATAGAAATGCTCAGCAAAGTTTTCCTCAATTTGATTAAAAAATATCTGCCAAAAAATCTATAGCTCACATTGTATTTAATGATGAAACTAGATATGTCCCTGTTAAGATAAGAAATAAGGCAAAGGTGTCTGCTCTCCCAATCAACATCATACTGGAAGCACTAGGTAATTCAATAAGATAGTAAAATATAAGGAAGAAAAAAAATAAAATATAAGGAAGAAATAAAACTGTATTTGTTGACAGAATATATGGTTATCTATGTAGAAAATTCCAAAGAATCAACAAAAAACAACCTGCTGGAAGTAATAAGCAATTATAGCAAGATTGTAAGATACAAGGTTAATATACAAAAGTCACCATCTTATACACCAACAATGAATACTAGAGTTTGAAATTAAAAACACAATACCATTTACATCAGTGCCAAAAATTCAAATACTTGGGTATAAATCAAAACTGTTCAAGATTTACATAAGGAATACTGTAAAATTCTGATGAAAGAAGTCAAAGATTAAGTAAATGGAGAAATATTCCATGTGCACATAGGAAGACTCACCACCATTAAGAGATCAGTTCTTTCCAACTTGAAGTACAGATTCAATGAAATCCCAATCAAAATTCTAGCAAATTATCAACCAACTTGATTCTAAAGTTTATATAGAAAGATTAAAGATTCAGAATGTCCAATACAACACCCAAACGGCAGAAGAAGTGACAGGACTGATGTTATTTGACTCCAAGACTTAAAAGACTTACAATCTATAAAAGAGCATTAATCAAGACAGTGTGGTGCTCACTTTAGCAGCACATATACTAAAATTGGAATGATACAGAGAAGATGAGCATGGCCCCTGGGCAAGGATGACATCCAAATTCATGAAGTGCTCCATAAAAAAAGACAAGTGTGGTACTGGAAAACCTGAATTTCATGTCCAACAAAAAAGAAGAAAAAACTTTTCAAATGAAGGCCTCTGTGACAGGTGGGCTAAGTATGAGCTGTGACCCCATCCTCTCTGCAGACATGACCCAGATTTGGCACCATCTTTGGTTCCCCACACAAGGCAACAGTGATGCCTGATAGAGCCTGGGTTTCTGACTTGGCACTGATGCTACTGACCTCGGCAGAAGGGCTTTATAACAGGAAACACAGACATACACTAACTCTAGGGCTTTCATCCTGATACCATTAAATTGTTCTTTTATAATTAGGCTTTAAGATAAGAATGATCTGCCCATTATCACCAAAAGTTGTACTTCACCTTTACCGCAGAAAGGCGGGCACCCTTTCTGCACACTGTTTTTCTGGGAACCTCTCCTTCTATACTACCACAGCCAGATTCTCTACTTTCAGAAACATGGATTCCTAGTTGTCAACTTGTCTTTCAAACAAATAAACTATAAAGAAAGAAACAACTATCACTTCATCAAACATTTGGCCATCTTCACCCGTCGCCTCCAAGCCTGGTAAGAGCCTCTGTTCTCCACATTCCTAGATGGACCATTGACCCAAATCCTGGAGGCCCCTCCAGGATCCCCAGACCAGTCTCTGCAGACTGTTCTACCCTTTCTTCTTTGGGAAAAGTCTGTGAGGAGAGAACGGTTCATGGCAGAGTCCTCCGTGATGGACAAGAGAGGCTCTGGGCCTGAGTCTGCTAGAGAGAAACCAGGAGAGTGAGGTTCTGTTTAAAGAAATAAAAGATGGCAGAGTTCGCTGATAGAATGACGCACTCCCTCAGCAGAGGCAACAACAGCCCTGAAGGCGCTCTGTGCCGATGGCGGCAGGGCCACCGAGGGCAGGCACCTGGGCAGAGTCATCCCATCTGAGAACACCTGGGCTGAGCCACGACAAGGCTCCACTGAGATGGCACGGAAGGTGAGGACATCGACGGTTCCTCCTGATTCTCCCGAGTTCTGGCTGGACTCCAGATCAGTGAGGAAATACCTTGGGGGAGGCCCTTCATTTCTCTGACCCGGCTTGTCTGCACTGCCCGACACGGGCTCAAAAGGGCCTACAGAGAAGAGAGACCCCTGCGGCCTCTGTAGGCAGGACCAGGCTTCAAGGCTACAGAGGGAAATTCCAGATCTGGAGAGCCTCACCCAGGAGCGCGGCCCGTGCGTCCTCTGCTCCGGCGCGTCCGGCACCATGCCCTGAGGCGCTCGTGCTCAGAGAGCGGGTCACAGCGCGGCGCCGCCCTGCTCTCTGGCTGTCCGCGACAGCGGGCGGGGCCCGGAGCAGCCGCAGCTGTGCGCTCCTTTCTGAGGCTGCCAGCTGCCGCGTTTCCCTGACGCACAGGACAGACATCACCTTCTATGTGTGCAGCAGCGAGCAGAGCAAAGCGTGGAACGTTTTCCTCAACCAGGCCCCCCTTGCCTGCCCCACCGATGGTCTAGCCTGCGTGCGAGGCACTTGTTTGTTTTAGATGTACTCACTCCACAGGGGCAGAAGCAGGCAGTGAGGCCCGCGGCATCCTAACAGCCAGAGGCCTGGCGTCCGTGCCTTTGGAGCCACGGAGGGCCTTCAGACAGCCACAGAACTAGCTGTCCGGCTGCTCCTGGAGCAGTGCTCTGACGGTGTTCTCTGACTACTTGAAGCAAAGCCCCTTGGGTTTTCCTTCAGTAGGTGCTTCTGTGATTTATTTCTTAGTAAGAAGCCAACAGAGTTTAAGGAAGAACAAAGAGCTAGTCAAAAGTTTTTCTGCCCTGGATAAAGAATATTATTATGTCAGTGAAAAGATTAGTTTACACAAACCTATAAAAGGCCTCAAACTGCCTTTTGCAGAGGCCAGTCCTCTAAGTGTACAAAGTCTGCGTTAGGCAGCACTTAAATGTGAAAGGGTCCACTCTTCACTTGAGGACACAGCAGATCAAAATGAATCAAAAAGCGATGTTCCTTAACTCTCACATCATGGTGTGCTAATGACTCACCTTTAAGAACACATGCAACCAGTCAGAAAGGGATGGGAATCCTTCTAGCCCCAACTAACTAAAGCCCAAAGCATTTCAGAAAAAAAAAATGTGTAGAATAATTTTAAAGGGAAATAATGGATGGTCTGGATGAAAACACTCATCTTTCAGGAAAACCTAAACCTGCCTTCCCAAGAAGACGAGGGACAGAGGAGCGTGGGAACTGAAGGACCAGAAAAAGAGAAGTGCTTGCAAACTACTACACGTGAGTAAGACAGGCAGTAAGTGATAAAAGGGATCCCTTACAGACTCTTACTCAAACTGTGCTGCTGGTGGTAAGGTTACCTGCTCTCTTTAGAGAAGATCGTATAGAGGATGACAACGTCTCCCTTTCCAAGGAAGGATGAGGGTCACACCATGAGGTCACCACAAGGGATGCAGGGTCCCATGCAGGTTCATTTCAGATTTCAGAGCAGCCCTCTCCAGAACATCCACATGCACTGCAGGACATCTGATGGGTTTCTTTCTCTCTCTTTAAAAGTGATTTAGATTAACCTCGATTTAGTTTAACAGCTGTTACTTGATTTTTTGTCTTTTTCTTATTGCTTGATATAACTGTTCATTCCTAAGAGTATTTTTAAATACATATGGTTTTGATTGTAATATGTTATTTACATTTCATTAAGCCCCCTAGAATTAGAAGATATAAGTATTGTATTTTTACTCTTAATTAAACCATCATCAGTGTTTTACACAACTAGATGGAGATATGTGAAACAGAGGGGGACAAAAGACTATTATAATATATGTATCTATTAGAAGTCTATATAAGTAGTTTAATATTTAACCTTAGTAAATTGTTATTGGTTTATCAGCTTCAAGAAAACAAAACCCTAAACAACCACAAAGACATTCCCAGCTAAACCTATCAGTACTTTTATTAATTTAAAACCATTGTTTCTTATTTTGTAATTTTCTGTAATTTATCATTTCAGATTTGTTCATGATATTCTTTGCTATCTAAATGTCTTTAGATTTTATGCAGTTAAAATTTTTTCCCTTTAAAAAATAATAAAGGGGCACAAATCCAGTTCTAGAACTACAACCTGAGAAAACCCTCCATCCACTCCCCAGTGAGAATACCAAAACTGGTTTAAAAAAAAACAAATTAAGTCTTTAGAAATGGTCGTAAGGGACTTCCCTTCCCTTCCCAAGTGGTCCAATGGCTAAGACTCCACAGTCCCAATGCAGGGGGCCAGGGTTCAATCCCACGTCAAGGAACTAGATCCCACACACCACAACTAAAGATCTCGCATACCGCTACTAAGACCCGGCGAAGCCAAATAAATAAATATTTTTCTATAAAGAAACTGTCCCAACAACACTTAACAAGTGAAGAAACATTTATTTTAAAAAGTCTGCTGAATCTCAGTAAGGGCAGTGAGTTCACGGCACTTAAACCACCACCCACTTCGCTCTTCACCCCAGTGGAGAGTGAGGGAAACGCCACTCTGCGCAGTGTGTGGCCAAGGCTGAGCGCTCTGGAGCGCCCCCTACTTACACTGATTTGTTTGAAACGGAATGTGGAGAAGTTCCTAAGGATGCTCTCAGAAACAATGGAGATGTGGGTGGTTAGCAGGTAAGGGGAGCCTAGGAGCTTGATGGGGCTTCCCTGGTGGCGCAGTCCACCTGCAGTGCTGGAGACCTGGGTTCTGTTCCTGGATTCAGAAGATCCGGGAGAAGGGACAGGCTACCCACCCCAGTATTCACGGGGCTTCCCGGGTGGCGCAGTCCACCTGCAGTGCTGGAGACCTGGGTTCTGTTCTTGGATTCAGAAGATCCGGGAGAAGGGACAGGCTACCCACCCCAGTATTCACGGGGCTTCCCGGGTGGCCGGTGAAGAATCCCTGGGTCGGTAGGATCCCCTGGAGAAGGGCATGGCTACCCACTCCAGTGTTCCTGCCTGGAGAACCCCATGGACAGAGGAGCCTGGTGGGCTACATAACTTTTCTTTCAAGGAGCAAGCGTCTTTTAATTTCATGGCTGCAGTCACTGTCTGCAGTGATTTTGGCACCCCCCAACATAAAGTCTGCCACTGTTTCCACTGTTTCCCCATCTATTTGCCATGAAATGATGGGACCAGATGCCATGATCTTAGTTTTCTGAATGTTGAGTTTTTTTTTTTTCTAGGTTTTATAGTATTTCACTGGCCAAGGTAACAGAAGGATAGGACAAAATATAATATTTATATGCGTTCCAACTTTTCACTCAGGAATTCTTCTACACTGTCTGTGTTTCATTTGAGGATGCTTAGTTCTTCAGCAATGTTCCCACTGTCGTCCAAAAGCTTTAGCACAGGGTCTGAACCGCGAACATACTTGATTTGCAGTCCTTTGAATAGTTTGGGTTTATCACTCCTGACGAAAGCTTGGACTTGAGGGAACCTCCCCAATTTTCATCCACAGACTTCAAGAATAGCTCCTGCATACAGCTTTTTAGTTTCAAATTGTGCTTCCTCCTGACAGCACCCTCTACAGTCAGGGTCCAGCTGCAGAAGGCTGAACTGTCCAAGCAAGTCACAGGAGCTGCAGAGCAAGTTGCTGGAGAAACCCAACTCCGGGCAAGACTCTGAGGAAAACTCTGCTCCCAGCGCAGAGACCGTTTGAAGCACTGTCGCCAGCAGCAGTCGCAGCCCAAACGCCGCGCCAAGCCATCCATACGGCCGGGCCGCCATCACTGCCACCTTCCATGGGTCTCCGGCGGCTCAGAAGACCCCTCTGCTAGGGGCGTCTACTCCAGAGCCTGATCCAAAACAGGCTGCTAGAGGCTGCTGCCATCAAGTCTCTTATTCTGAGGAGACGGGCATTAACTACGGGCATATGTAAGCTTAAAGGTGATCAAAAACTTTACACTTGATGTAAATATGAAGTCACTGGGTCCTTTCGATAATTCACATCAGGCATCTCCCTAAACTCCTCAAATCTGTGCTTCCCGGGCTCCTGAATGTTGAGTTTTAAGCCAACTTTTTCACTCTCCTCTTTCCACCTTCATCAAGAGGCTCTTTAGTTCATTTTCTGCCATAAGGGTAGTATCATCTGCATATCTGAGATTATTGATATATGGTATTTACATATTTACAATATTGTAGACACTGAGTATCAGTTTAAACAATGACCAATTTGAAAGAGGGAATGAGGACTTGTACTTGTGGAACAGGAGTGAGGAGGAAAAAAGCTACGTATAAAAATTATGCTTGAAACTGAAGAACCAAGTTGTACCATTACAAGCATGTTACATACAGAACTGAATGTAAATGTAAACATAGATACCTAGAGAATCAGGTAAAACAGGTGAAGTGCTTACCCTGGAGAAGAAGGGGATAATGTGGTGTTTTCCATAACAAGCTTGACAAACTCTTGACTCTAAAAACTATGTGCATTCTAACTTCAAATAAAAATTTAAAATGTATACTTCTATCTCTCCTATACTATGTCACTTCATTCACCAGTGTTCAATTTTCATGACTAGTTTATACTAGTACAAAAGAATTAATTTTGTCTCTGCCTTGAAGGCATTACTATGAAGGCTATGAAGACATTCAGAAATCCTGCTTTTAATAATAACAGTTATCATTACTGTGTGCCCAGTACTGTACTAAGAACCTTGATGCATAATCTCCAATTTCCACAACAACCATGCAAAGTAGGTATTGTTTCCATTCTATAGATGAGAAACTGATGCTCAGAGATGTTAAATAATCTGCTAACCTGCAGCACAGCTCCCTGATCCCAAGGTTTCTGTTCTTTTCATTAGATCACATCACTTCTTTCTAGGGTTTGAGTTTAAAGAAAATAAAAAGGGGGGGAAAAATGCAACAGTTCTATTAAGTCCTTTGCGGGAAGGACAGGGAGGGGAAGAGGAACCCTGAAGGATTCAGAAATATTACTAGGTAGCTGTCTACTGACTTAACCGAGCTTAACCCCAAATTGGAATTTCCAGCTGGTCATGTGAGCACAGAAAGCAATTTTTAAACTCTGGCTAGGAGCCCCTATGATTACAAAAATAAGAGCTCCATTCTGCTCTTATTTTGAAAGGAGATGTTCCAGCTGCTCTAGCATGGGCCTAAACACCCTGGTGAGGACGCTAAGAAGACACGGTTTTGTGTCCAGGGACCCCCAGTCATCCTGCAAAGCTGATTTCTGAAACGGCAAGGACAGAGGCATAGGTGCTTCCCCGCAGTGACCGGGGTCTGGAATCTTGGACTAGTCCATCTTAAGGGTCCCTTCTGAGTAATATTCTAGGTTGTGTTTATCTTGGTTTAAAACATGAGGAGTTTTGAAAGTGTCTTGGCCAGTCTATTTTCTGGAATCATTGTGTGTTATCATCCAGACACTTATCTGGCTATTTAGGTCTGCTGGCTGGTTGGCTCAGGTGTGGGTAAAGTGCCCAGTTTGGAGAAGAGCAATGTTGTTTACATTCTTTCTTTCTGAAAAGTCATAAGCTACCGGCAAGAAATGAAAGTGAAATCAGGGGACAGTGTCATCAGTCAGCAGAAATGTGCCAAAGTTCAGAGAGCTGTTTACTTAGGCACGACATGCCTGCCAGCCAGTCATAAGCCCGGGGCTGCATTGACCTGCCAGCCCCTCTCCACCGGCCTGGATTCTGGAGCCTGGACACTAGGAAGCCAGCGAGAGAGAAGAACCCACCGAACCTGATTTCCTGCTGCTCCTCTTGAAAAGCGCTTTGTGCGTTCTGCATCTTCTCTTCGGTAAGTACCTGCCTTGCGTGCCCAACAGCTCGCCCAGATGCCTGCTGCTCTGAAGACAAGTAGGCTTTCCTCTCAGACCCTGCATTCTAGCCACGGACCCGGGGAAACAACCGGTAGTCAGGGTCTGGGGACCACCACCCACCCCCATGGATGACCCACCTCCAAGAGCTCAGCTCTCCCCTCCTCCTTCCCCCTACTCCCTTCAGCATCAGCCTGTGGGCCTCTGGCCTCTAAGGCGGTGCAGGTAATGCCAGTATGACTGGTTAGAAATGCAGAGAGCGATGGGCAGTGGGCTTTTGCACAGAGTCTACACAAATAATAGTCTATGGCGCATGAAGTGGAAAAGACGGCCAAACAAAAGCAGATCACAGACTTGCAGTAGCTAAACAGGAATACCATGAGTCCTCCTGAAAATACGCACTGTGGACTAAGACTGTCAGAAAGACCTCTCTGCTCTCAACTCAGAAAGAAGACAGTAGGATCTAAGAGATTTTTAGACCTGGTGTTATTAGATTACATTGCTTTTCACAACTTGATGGAAATTCACAGTGGGATTTTAGTTCTGTTGGTGCAGATGTTTCCCCTAAAATTTCCAGTTAGCTTCTTCACCTGTAAAATCAAACGCTCCTTGGGAAAAGATAAACACGCATTATTTGGGATTGTCTTTCCTTCCTCCCTCGTGACAACTGAAGTGCATTTTTCAGTATCTTCTTCCTAAACCGCACCTCTCCCAAACTCCCGAATCCGTGCCTATGACAGTCTCCTTTTGATTTTGCATATTCCCCTTTCTCAACACTCTTTCTGGCCAACCCACCTGCTTTATCTAATCGCTAACACTGTTTTCTAAATTTCACTTTTACATAAATAGAACGCATGACTCTGGAAATATTTTTAATGTGAAAAGAAAAGAACTCTTGCCCATAATGCCCAGAGATACCAGAACTAACATCAACATTTTAGAACATTTCCTTAGTATCTTTCTTGCGGTCACACTGTTTAGTGTGATTTTAGACCTGGTTTTTCTAAAGGCTACATAGAGTTTTATTATCTTGATATGTCATAATTTGATTCTAATGTTGCTTCTCATTTTTGGCTAAAGTAATACTATGATAAACATTCCTGTATATAAATCACTGACGGCATTTCTGATTGCTGCCTGACTCATAAGGGGAATTAGTTGCCCAAAGGGGTATGATTTTTAGTGTTTTTAGTGCTTTTTGCTCTCCTGCCTCCCAGAAAGTTTGTAAGAATTTTCACATCCACCATTATTCTATGAAGATGCCAGTTTTCTTGCACTCTTGGTATCAAGTGTTTTTATCTGCAGTTTTGATGGGGAAACTCAGACTATTTGGCATATCCTTGACTATTTACTTGAGGTGTAGACTTTTTTTTCATGTTAGTTAATGTGACAGAGTGATTTACAATAAGAAACAGATATTCCGTCTCTGTCCCCATAAAACCCTTGGCATTTCCTAAGTGATAATAGAGGTAAATGTGTTTGTTTGTTTTAATTCATTACAAACCCTTTTCAGCCACCTCTGAGTCCATGTTAGTGACTCGGCTTCTGGGAGGCCCCTAAGGAGAGGGCTGGTTGCCAGGGAAACAGCCACATCCTTACAGGGCTGGGCCTTCAGCCCCAACCTCCAGAGGCGAGAGGGATGGAGACAGAGTGTCCCCGATGGGCCGATGATTTCATCGATCACACCTGAGTAAAGGAACTTCATAAAAAACCCCTACAGGACAGGGCTCAAGGGCTTCTGGGCTGATGGAAGCATGGAGGCGCCGGGAGGGTGGCAGGCCCAGACAGGGCATGGCAGCTCCGCGACCCCTCCCAGCATCCTCTGCCCCGAGCGTCTTTAGGGTGGCTGCTCCTGGGCTGTGAACCAGTACTCTGATAACGCAGACTGCTGGCCGGAGTTCTGTGAGCCGCTCCAATAAATCAATCAGACCCAAGGAGGGGGATGTGGGGACCTCCAAGCTGTCGCTGGTTGGTCAGAAGCACAGGTGACGTCACAGGCTTGTGACCGGGGGGACTGCGCCCTCAGCCTGTGGGAGATGCCACCTCCAGGTAGACGGAGTCAGAGTGGAACTACAGGACACCCAGGTGTCGCAGAGAATTCCCTGGTGGGGAAAAACCCTCGCACGTTTGGTGGAGGGTACAAATAAGGAAAAAAGAGGTTTTTACAGTTAACTACTTTGCATTCCTTCTCAGGTGAAATATCTCTTCATGTGCCTCGTTCATTTTCATGGGGATTAAATGTTTTTTAACTTTTTGGCATAAACATTTTTTTATATTAGGTATAGTAACCATTCCATATTGATTGCAAATATTTTTCCATGCTCACTGACTTTTAATTTTGTGTTTCTGTTGTATAGAAGTGTATATTTTCCCGGTTAAATCCATACCATTTTTCCTTTGTAGTTTCAATTTGCTTTTAAGCTCAGAGCATTCTTTTTTCATTCATAAATCAAATATTTACTTTTCTCTAGATCTTTTTTGTCTGCTTGTTCCTTATATCTCACTACTGGGTCCATGTGAAATTTATTTTGATATATGGAGTGAGATGAGGCCCTAAAATAGTTTTAACTAATTGCTTCAGCATTAGTTAAAGGAAAGCCCTTCCTCCCACTGAATTCTAATGCCACTCTTAATGGGGTATTAAGAGTGTACTCACAGGCGTGGCTTTTCTGAGATGGTCTGCTCTCTGAGCCGTCCAGCCAGTGCCCCCCACCCTCCTCTGTTGGCTCCACTTTCCCCTCAGTCTCCTCTACCTGGGAGCCGGGCACTGCAGTGACCCGTGATCGGTCTACCTTTGGAATCTTCCAGTGAATTGCGTCTTCAAGCAAAGCAATGTATGACAAGTATCTTTGGAGGTTTAACCCTCAAAGGCACGCATAGAAGGTTCTATAGAAACTGAGGCACTTTATTCTGCACCCCTGGACTCACACCTGTTTCTCAGCCCTGT